ACAATAAAAATGATTAATCAACCTCTCATAATTACAAAAAAATGAACAAAATGAAAAATTAAGATTGGTTGAATGCGGTTTGCACGGTTTGTACAAATTGAGTGGTTTGCATTTGATCGCTCCCCTATATATATATATATATATATATATATATATATATATTATTTTTGATATCATGTCAGATCAGTCTATTTTTATGAAATCATTTTTTTACATTTAAATTAACAACGTTTTTGTTGTGAAGGTTCAATTTTTTTTTTACTTTTATAACGTTTTACTGTGAAGTTTCAAGTGTAAAAAAGTGGTCTTACGGGTCTCATGAAAACAGACTGGTCTCACGTGAACCCAACCCTATATATATACATATATAGAGACACGTTCAAATGAAAACCGTGCAATTTTTAGAAACCGTGTAAACTAATTTCGACCAATAGAAAAATTCCATTTTTTTTAGTTAAATTTAATTATTAAGGGTATATTGATCATTTGCATTGTTTTCTATTAAATACGAAAGTTATTAATAAATCTTAATTAAGGTAACATAATAAAGAAAATTTTATAAATGGTAACATTTAAATATTTAATTAAATTATAATATTAAAAATTGGATTTTGTTATATTGTGTCTCGGTTTATTATTGTCAAAATTCATGAAAATCGTAAGTTATTAGATTAATAAATCCATTAAATCAGTAATAGAATTAAAAAAATATTCATAAAACCAGTGTCATACATGGTGAAATTGGTGCATGAAGTAAGTGAAAATGATTATGGAATGGGTGCATGATGAAACCGGTTTCATACATGGTGAAATTGGTGCATGGAATAAGTGAAAATGATTATGAAATTGGTGCATGATGAAACCGGCTTCATACATGGTGAAATTGGTGCATAGAGTAAGTGAAAATGATTATGAAATGAGTGCATGATGAAATGAGTACAACATGAAATGAGTACATCATGAAATGAGTGCATGATGATATGGGTGCGTGAAAGAAGTGAAGCCATTTCAAAGCAAAAATTTGCCGATGAAATGGGTGCATAACGAAAGTAAAACCATTTCATAATTGTTAAGAAAATGTTGTGTAATTAGCGAACAGTGAAACAATTTCATAATTATATTGAAACGGATCCATCTACCAATAACATGAAAATGACAAATGTCTCATCTAGCATTACGTTGATTTGTGTATTGATGAAACTGTGAAACCATTTCGTTCATGAAATGTAGTAGCAAATTTATTATTATTATTATTCAAAAGGTTTCATTATGTTAAATTGATTATAGTGTGTTTTATTTTTATTGTTGATCTATTTTAATGATGGATATAATTTTATTTATAATATTTGAACATAAAATTAATATATTATTTTACAAATGATTTTATTTCATTAATATTACGATATACATGATATGGTTGACATTAATATTACCACTACCAAAGTTATCATTTTGCCCTTATAGGGATTATAAAATAATTTTTTTTAATTTCCTAATATAACCTAAACTAATCTTGACCATTGATCAAGAAAATGGATGGATGAGATTGGTTTATATGGTTTATACAAATGAGGGCAGTTTTCATTTGATCACTCATCTTTCTCTCTCTCTCTCTCTCTCTCTAT